GGGGGGGGGGGGGGGGGGGGGGGGGCGAAGACCTCATTTATCGCTCGTGTCTCCTTCACTATGCACACAATGGGTTTGCGCTTCGATAATTAGCCGATGGGCCGACCGACTCGAAGGGATTCACTGTTTCACTCGGATTTGAATTTCGTCGCAACACCTTCAGGAATTCCTCTTCTCTTAATTTTAAATCCTCTTTAACGTTATTTATTTAAATAGTAGTTTACCATTTTTTTGCGCGAGAGAGAAATGATGTGGCCGCGTTCCGTCGAGTTCTTCCTGCCGCGTTCCTGCCGTATCGCAGGACAAAAATGAGCCCTATCGACTGATTCGAGAAAGGCTGACCTTGACTGCCGGCAGTACTGCATGAATAATAGAATCGACGATGAATAAATGGACGTCGGCATCGACTGACAGCCGTCGATATGAGGGCCATGCGGCCCGTCATGCAAAGTCGGCGGCTCTGTGCGGCATGTCGATGGACAGGTCGTCCCTGGGTCGGTAATGCTCCACGTGGCCTTTCGTGCCGACGAACCGCTGGGACCGGATCAAGGTCAAGGAGTCAAAGGCACGGAAGAACGCGCGTGCCCTCGATAAAACAGCATGAAAGAAAGTTCTAAAAATTTTATAAATAAGCAAAATGATATGACATTCACACGTCACGCGTGACGTAGATTCCATAATGATATTGCAATTTCATAATTATAATTACTTACATTAAGCGACATCCCCCCCCCCTCATGGATGGCGGAAAAAATATGCAAATTCGGTCAGAGATAACGTAGAACGCTCAGCAATTTGTTCTTAACGGTCGTCGGTAAATATCCTTTCAGAAAATTACAAAGCTCCTTAAAAGTCGCCGCAAATAAATGGCACATGGTAATCAATAGCTTGATTAGTAGTAATCAACGGCTTCATTACTACCATCCCTGCATTATTGCACCCGTCGCACAAATTTCTGCGGTTCTCGATTGTGTTCTGTGGAGAAAATTGAACCGCTCGTCTATTTTTTTTTTCAGATTTCCTCGCCGCGGTCTCCTCGACTGCCGCTATGCACAATTACGCGTACGACAATGGTACGTCCCGCATGATGGAGACACTCCCGTCATTTCCCCCGCTTAAACGGCGAAATTCCCGCAGGCACGACGGACTGGACGTCGGAGCACCCGACCTGCGGCGGGGACCGGCAGTCCCCGGTCAACGTGGACAACGTCACGTCCGCCGACCTGGGGCTCCTCGAGTTCCGCGGCTACGACCGCCGACCCGACGGCGTCGACGTCGTCAACAC